CTTTGAACTGCACATCCGATTCTGAAAATCTAACGCCATCCAAAACCTCCAGACTTAATTCGTTGTTATCGCTAGCTGATCGTCGGGCTGATTCCGGCATATGGCCTGAACTTACTGCAACTATGCCTCTCTCAAGAACATTAGCGAGAGGTCCCGAGTAGTCTGGCTCTGCTGTCTTACAGTTCTTCACATCTTCATTTTCTTCTTTAAGGTTCGCTTAAGTTATCAATGACAAAAATAAAACATGAGTCTGTAGTAATTTGTTGATTGTACAAGTGAAAAGAGGATAGCAGCCAACATTTTTGAGAAAACAACGAGGGTTGGGCCAATACAACAATACCACTATCAATTGATTTATCTTGAAAATCCAAATTCAGAAGGCAGATGGCTCCGTCGAGTTCTGTCAAGCCATTTGCTCTAACAATGTAAACCTATTCAAAGAAACAAAAAATTCAGTACCAGAAATTGATGAATAAAATCCAAAGATGTCTGTAGTGGAAATGTCAAATGATATGCTAAAAACCGCCTGCAAGATCACAAATGACCTCCCATTTCTTTGTTGATGCTGGTGATTCAGGTAAGATTTACTGGCAAATGCTGTAATGTAGTTAAAAACATCTAAATGAATTGTTTGTTCGACTGGAAATACGAGTACTTCCCTTCTAAAATAGTGGTAGGCACCACCATTGTTTGTAGTTGATATATTCATGAATTTACACGCAGTTTCAGAGTACTCGCCAACATGCATGTTTTCCTATTAACCACATCATCTGAAAACTGAAATTCTCAGAGATAAGAGCAATCAATACACTTGTACGCTTAAAAGTTAAAACATGCACCTTGGCATGTTGGTGGAATAAACCCAAACTGTGCATGACCTTACACTGGGTGGTTGACATAGCTGGACAGAATTCTGTACGCTTTGATAGCGTATTAAAAGGGGCATAGCATGCTTGTTTGTTTGGTGTAGGAGAGCAATTGCAACAATAAATTCATAAATCAAGTCCAAACAGGCTTGTGATTAACTACCTTTGCTTTAATAATCAAATCCACTGAAGCCATACTTTCTGAATCAAGCTCATAGAGTTACCTTAAGTACACAAGGTTTAATCAATTGGAAAACTAGGACATCCCCCTCAAGCAAGTTGTGCGCAATAGAGAAACCTCTCCATCCACCACTCAATCCGTTCTTCTCCACCAGGTATTTTGTTTTGTATTCTTCTCCATTTTCGTCCACCAAAACAACAATACCATCTTTCTTGGGCAAATGGATATTGCAGAATTGCTTAGGCAAACTCTGAAATTGAATGACAGAATATATTAAGGACATTATTCACACCTCAAAAGGGCGATTAGAATAGGGGCCTTTAGAGCTTTACCAACCAAAATCCACCGGTAACATGAGATCGGAGCATGTGCTTCACACAACAAGGAAAATTAGATGGCAGCTTAGCTTGAACCTCGTGTGCTCTGTGAAGGACAGAGGATTTGGGTTTTCCATAAGCCGAATGATCACCGGTTTTGTCCCCGATCTTTTCATAGCTGGAAAGTATATTTACAACAAGCATGTTTCAGAAATATTTCAAACAAACCTTCATCACTTCTAAATAAAAAGCAAGTAATTTATCGTTCAATCATAGTAATGATAATGACAGTACTAATAAATAATATGCATGCGCCGACATGATCAAACATCCTCCGCTGACCTTATCAACGACTTCTCGATGTTGTGAGTTTCCCCCTGCACACGAGTCAATTTGTTAAACAGTACTTATTTCTTTCTAAGAGACGCAGAGCAACGAGATGAAGCCCCCAGAGTCCACCAACTGACATGGATCTGAAAAAGCTGACTACAAAGAAATGCAATAAAAGTAAAGAATAAACTAATGAATAAACACTACAGACACTCATCATTCATCATATTGGGTTCTCATCTCGTACTTTGTTGATTTTGTCATGTTGAGTGCCACAAGGGTTTTTCTTCACCGGCTTCTTCTTGAACTCCGAGGCCTTCCTCTGTTTCAGCTGTCAAAGTGAACAAGATAACAGACTTAGAGCCTTCAGTTGACCAAAAAGAAACCATGATTCAGTATTCGAATAACAGATGGTAAAAACAGATAGAACCTTGGTGGACGGATCGTATTGGCTTCTCTTAGAAGGAGAAAACTGAGAGATGGCCATTTTTCGTACTTCTACCGTATTTCCTTTGATCAAACTCTTTCTCTTACAGAAAGAAAGAGATGAATCAACCGTTTGGTGGGGTAAAACTTCTAGAGGAAGGATTTTGGGATGGGGGGAGATTTTTACCGTTGGTTCAAATAAATGCCTGCTAATACAAGATTTTTCTTTTTTTGTTTGAGTGGGTTGCCAGCATGAAGTGCGATTTGACAAGACTTGTCAGACTACATTCTCGGAGAAGGGAACACCGAAATGGAGCCAAATTTCAAATTTCTTTGCAGAATAAAGGCATTTACAAGAGTACTATGAAGCATAATAAATGGTTTCTTTCCTTTTTCCAAGACAAAGTACGCGGGTTTCCGGTTTCCATTTTCATTCGTGTTTCTGGTTGTCCAATCCCTTCCTTCAAAAGGAAAATGTTATCCAGTGTACTCTGCTAAGTACCAGCACTTCCGCACTTTGTATTGCATTGGTTTTGTATTTTGTGATTTCGCTGCGGTATGGGACAATCAACTCGGGCGCCGGGCGGTTTCAATTTTTACTCGCAAAATACTACCAGCAAATAAAGAGCATCGTAGGCTTGGTTTGGAAGTTTTGGAGAGAAAAAAAAAAAAAGATGGAGATTTTGAGTTGTGATAAAAGAAAACAAGAGAAATAAGATGAGAATTTTCGAATGTCTAGGAGCTTAAAAATTAAATGGAACGACATTTGTACATGTTGGATACCAATAATTTATCCATCATTTGCTCTATGGATAAACATACGAGTTATTTTATAATGTGATGTGTATGAGAATAAAATAATATAATTAAAATTATTTTTTGATGCAAGTAAAATAATATATTTGCTTGTATTACTAATTTCATGAGTTTTTGAAAATTATTTTTAATATATTTTTAATTACTTTTTATCTTATTTAAATCCTATTAGATAAAAACTCATAAAAAGTGCAAATCAATAGAGGCACTTTTAAAACCACCAACCCTGAGTCAAGGTGGAAGGTCATAGTTTCAAATCTTATCTCACACCAATTGCCATAATAAGTGGTTCTTCTAAAAAAAATCCATATGGGTGCACAGTGTACGGTGTGTACCCGTCTAATCCGGTGATGGTTCAATTTCTATCGACCCCCGTAAGTTCGATTGGACCTCCCCTAAATAGATTAGGATAGAAATAAGGTACAAATAAAGTAATGATAAAAAAAAATAGGGGCACTTTAAAAAGTTTGGAAGCTTTTCTTCCTTTCTTTTTCAAATATGAAGAGAATCTCATCCTTTCCTTTCTTTCTGTTCTTTAATTTTCATATCCAAACTAGGCGTATGGGTCAGATGGAATAAACCATGAAACAATCTCACAAAAAGGACAACAATGAGAAAGAGCATAAGTTCATAGGTTAGTTATCCTAAACTCACACAAGACATAAAAGACTGAAAACCTATATATTCGATATAGGTTTCCTTGCAGTGTGAATACGCATACATACATCCTTGCACGTATATATTCGATAAACTTTTCAAAGACTGGATAAGGTTAACACACTCTCTGTAAAGTGGTGCTTTTTTTTTTTTTCTATTAACATGGCAATAATTTCTTGTCACAAAAAATGGAAACTAATACTCATAAAAAATATTTCACTTTCATTTTGTCCTTGTTTGTTCTTATTAACAATTCTATTTTATGCTTAAATATATCAATATTTTCTTAATATTGAAATGATGGTGAAAAATTAACAAATTTTTAAAAATATCTCAATAAAATTTTAACTTTTAAAACATGCCAGAAATACTTAATACATATGGACCCATTTACAGTAGAAATTTTCTGAATACAATTTTTCAAAAACACCCCAAAAATATAAATACTATCTTCTTCTTATGTCTACAGTTCACTCCATTTTCCTAAGTGTATTAAAATCCTTGCCCTGCCACTGCCAGGCTAAAGATTGTATTGAGTTACTTTGTATCTAGAATAGTAAAGTAATATATTTTACAAAAAAAAGTTATAGCAGCAAAAGCTTATAAGCTGCCTATCAGTCATCATCACGCCATCCTGTGCAGCGGCAGCTCCTTAGAAATCCTTGAGCTATTATTTATTTGTCTTGGGAACCTCAATTTCAGCATACAACCTCTCCATTGCCTCCTTCAGCTCTAACATGTTTAGTTCAACTGGGTTAGCATCTCTACCTTGATTTTGCATGATTGCTATTCCTCTATGTCTCTAACAGTAAAAAGGTACTTTGGATTCAAGAACAAGGTATCCAAGCTGGTCCAGCAAAGTACGTGACCAAGATGGTACCCCATCTGCTCATACAGCGTCATGCGTTTGCTCCGTATTGCAAAATCCTTTGGATGGGCGTTGTGCTTGGTAGCTTTAACAGCATTGTGGCAATGATGTAAGTTTCAGCGATCAAACCTGCACCAAATCCACACCTCATAAGGTTGGTAAATGCTTGGAAAGTCTGAGTCAGTAATTATGGGAGACTTGGTACAGTTTCCGAAGTGTCCGATCAGGTAAAGCAAACAGAAGCAAAAGGGAGCAATAGTGAGCTGCAGCTCCTCTTATTCCTCGTCCCTTAATATCTTTTTATCTGGACTCAAGAGGGATAAGACTCAAGAAATCATGACTCCTGAGAATCATGATGCATGCTGTATATTGGGCGAGGAACAGTCAGCAAAATATGGGTTGAAATTATAATTGACTTCCTTCAACTGGTATTTGCTGACTTACTTTATGATCTATTTTCAATGTAGATGCACCGCTTGGATGTTGAATTCAATCTCGATTGTGAAGACCAGAAAAGGAGCCTCTTCTTCCTTCCAGAGCTAGCTGAAGGTGCTCGTCAATGCTCTCAGGACGACCCATCACCAGCCCCAAATTGTTATCTAGCATATCCTTGTCAGAAATGTTCTCGCTCTCTGGTTGTGAAGAACTTTTACTCTTTTCTCCAGTAGGTTGGGGATCTCTGCAATCATCGCCTCTATGTCCTGTTTACCAGAAATTGGGATCAAAAGAATGATGAAGGCGGCATGCATTCTGGAACTTTTACTTCTTTGAAGAGCTATACAGGGGAAAAAACCAGCTGACCAGATTCGTTTCCCGTTGCAGGGCCCTCTAATTGCAAAAGACAAAGAGCTGCATCAACTTCGGCCAAACGACTGGATCTTATTATGTATACCTTAAAAAGCGAAGGGGAAAAAAATGATTGCCTCCAGTAATTCACTAGTCAAGAGCATCCAATAATTGTTTAGAGGTCCAGAAAAGGTGGCAGGACAAAACAGAAATGTTGCATGATTATCATGCATGTCTGAGTTTTCTGTAATATAATCACACCAGAATCCAACTATTAACACAAACAGCATGCAATTTTTTTTTCCCGGTTTTGGTCTAACCAGTGAAAACACAGTGCAAAATATCTCTGTATTTACATGCGTTTTTTTATACTTGATTTGAGAAATTGCAGCTTGCAACTAGAAGGCCTCATCTGGAGAAAAAAAATTGCTAAGCTCTCAAACAGGAATTCACCTCAATGAGAACATGTTAAGATGTCCATAGACAACCTATGTCTAACAATAAATGAAATGACTACCTTTAGTTTGTTGGCAATAACCATATGAAATACCAGAACATCTCCCTCAACTAACTTGTGTGCAATTGCAAATCCCATCCACCCAGCACTAAGGCCCCTTCTTTGAGCAAGATATTTCGTGATGTACTCTTTACGATTCTCATCCTCCAAAACAATTGTTGTGTCATGATCAGGCAAATGAAGCTTGCAGAATAGCCTTGGAAGAGACTGTAAAAGGGAACAATTTACCATAAAAATTCCCCAATCTTGCCAAACGTTGTCATGTCTGATACATAAAATTTTATTTGAACGGATATGAAATTTACCAGCCAGAAACCTTTTTTAACATTAGATCGGATCATTGGCTTCACAAAACTAGGAAACTTGGCATCAAGAGTTTCTTGGACTGCTTCAGCTCGCTGCATAACTGATGATGTAACCTTAATTTGACCACAAAGATCATGCATCCCTACCATTCTTCGTTTACAGCTTTAAAAACAAAAAAAAAGAAACAAATCTTGCAGGAATAGTGAATCTCCAAAACTTGGATGCTTAAAGTAACGCTTAAAAAAAAAAAACTGAGAGGAAACTGTGAAACAACTATAAGCCATTCAAAACCGACCTTCGTGATTGACTGGGCTTCTTTGCACCCACCTGTTTCAAATATTAAATGAGATTAATTGAGAAAAGAGAATGAAGAACTGCACTGAAAGATGAGGAGGGAAAAACAAAATTTTCTGCAGCATAAGTACATCAAAAAAATGGCATCTTTCTTTTCAGATTATAAAGAAAAAAAAAATCATGCATGGCAGCAAACTCGAGCAAACTTGAACACTCAAGCACTCTAAGCCAGTGCTTGGAATAATCAAGTCATCTAACATCAGAACTACAGGGACAGAATCATTGAAACTCTTGCACTTTGTGGAAGAAAACAATTCAAGCACCCACGATCCCGTTAGACTGCGACAGTGATGCGAATAATTATGTGAGGGAGAAGTGAGAGATCAGACCCTGAGGGTTGGATGAAACGGTTTGTGCTCGGAGAATTTTGAGCTAGGAGAAGGCGCCTGTTGCTCTTCTTCATATCTTTGTTCCTCCAAGCAAATTTCCTTTCAGAAAAATCATTAAATTCAGTACATAAATCCACTATAAAATATCCCATTGTACTTGTCTAAGGAATAACGGGGGACATATTAGGATGTACTTAGATACAATGAAACTTAATTCCTAATTTCATTTGCAAGCCCATCTTGCCACCTTTGTAAAGTATGAGGAACTTAGATATCAAAGTTTTATACCCAAAATTGCAAAGAACGAGGTTTAGAGTCTTTAGACTTTAGATGCAGCAAAAGCAAATTTTTGAGGTAGAAATCTTCCAGAGCTCACAAAAAAAGTACCATAAGATTTTGATAGTGGGGGGTTTTAGATGATTTTAGGCTCTCTTAAAAGAAAGCATAACAAAAGAAAATTCTATACGAAAAGAAAAAGAAAAAAAAATATATCGTACTTCTTGTTGCTTTGGCTTGAATCGGATGCCCCATGGCATTTCATCAATCTCCAACAACTTTCTCATGGTCTCAAATCTTTTCTTCCTTTTCATCATCTGTTCATTTCAGAAAATCCAATCAGAAGAGGGGAAAAAAAAAAACTACCGCAGTCTTCACCAAAGGACACGCATACAAATACGTACGTTACAATATATATGTTAAACACTGATAAACAAAAGGGGCGAAGAGATTCACATGGCGATTGATGAAACTAACGTTCTTCTGCATGCACGAAAAAAGATCCCAAGTTTTCTTGATTTTGTTGTTTGTGGATAGTTGATTTAATTGAAGGGAAAAATTGGATCTGATTGCTGAAAGGTTGCCCGCGAAAATATCTCCTTGGTTCTTATATTATATATAACCGTGGAGTCTGGAGAGCAAGGGGGTGTAATTTCATATTTCTACTGTACATATTATTGAGCTCACCTGACACTTTCATAAATATCACTTACTTTCCTTTTCGACCAAGTAGGATCCAGTAATAGCAACATCGCTAGCTTCCCTCATTATTGTTATTATTATTATTATTATTAAAGTACTTTGACTAAAAAAGAAATGGCATTTATTTTTACAATTAGAAATAAAACAAATAAGTTTAGAATCACTATTAAAAATATTATCATCACAAATTTGGAGCCATTTTAGGCACGCTTTTGTGTTTATTGTGCATTTAAATATGCAATGAACTTTATGTTCTCCTTGTAATGTTATGACTTCCAATCCGGAGTTCTTGAGAATTTTCGTTATTTCTTTAAAAAGATTGTGTAGTTGAAAGAGTGAAAATTTTTGGGAAATTATTTTTCCTTCAAATCATTAATTTTTTTCCATAGAATTAGAAATAATAAATTTGAGGTATTTTGTAGCATTTATGTGACATAGATGAAAAATGAACCCGATGAAATAGAATAAATCTGCAATTTGGTACACTACTAAAAAATGTTTTCAAAACTATTTGTGATGCACTCCTACATTTTTTTTTGCCTTCGTAATAAACTTTTATTTGTATGCAGTTTTATAATAAGTTAATAACTAAGACCATAAAATTGCATTTTTGATATGAAGTTCTCTCTACTCTCTTTTTGAAATCATTTATTTATATATTATTTCTCCTTTTTTTTTATCAGCAACGATACATTTGTATAACCTATTCTATCCTAATCTAAGGGGTAGGGATATAATCGAACCTAGCTGCTCGCGAGCTATTCGGTCAAAAGCTTGACTCGAACTCGGTCATATCGAATTCGAGCAACTCGATAAGGTTATCGAGTCGAGTTCGAGCATCCAGAAGCAATGCTCGAAGGCTCGACGAGCCTTATCGAGCATTTTAATTTTAATTATTTAATATATTATTATAAAATTACTCTTATACCCAAAAGAATTATCGAATTTACAAAATATTTCAAATCATGTAATTATTTTAAAAGGACAATAATATTTTTTCACTAAAAAATTATCAAGAAAATGAATTTTAATAACTCGAGCTCGACTAAGCTCGATAAGGCTAGCATGGATTCGAGCCCATGCGAGTCGAGTTCGAGTATTGCGAGCAAGCATTGAACTCGAGCTCAAGTTCCAATAATAGTACTCGCTCGAGCTCGAGCAAGAGTAGCCTTCTTGCATGTCGAGTCGAGCTCGAGTATGGCGATACTCAGACTCGAATCGACTCGATTACAATTCTAGGAGGAGCCTAAAGAGGTTGTGGTAAGGGGCTAGTAGATATACAAACCAAACTAGACCTATGAAATGCTATGGCACAACCCTTAAATTTTTTTCGCTGCAGGTGAAGTTTGAACCCTCGCCTACATTTGTATATATTACTTCTCCTAACATGGGCTGGTTTGTTTACCCAAAAAAAGGTTGGAGTCAAGGGAGGGAGGTAAGTAAATTTTTGAAAATTCAATAATACTACTGTCAAAAATCCGAGGGGAACTTTTTGAGATTATCCCAGACGAAAACCAAGCAACAAGGACGCGGTCTCTGGCGGAGTGGCAAGACAGGTCCGCGCAAAAACAATCACGTAACCAACAAAGCGTTGCGTTTGCTGTAAAAGGAAACTACTGGTGCACTACTTATTTGGGACAAACCACTTCATGAAGAAATTGTAAGGTCTGGATGTGGACATCTCGCAAATTTTAGGACATGAAAGATTCTCACCTCCCAAACGTTCTTCTGAACCTTTATTTCTCCAATTAATGCGTTCAGTTCTTTTGCCTTTTGCCTTGAGTTTGTTTTTGGGCAGATCAAGAGTTTGTTTATTTATTTATTGGTTACGTGTAAAAATTTGGAAACATCATTCAAAACATCTCTTACATTTTGTCAATTGAATTTTTTTTCATCCTTTCAATTTTCAAATAATAACTTTACATTTTTTACAGAATTAAATCAGTAAAATTTGATATCAATTTAGGTTTTCGATCACTTTTTATCTTGAAATCATACATGACTAATTTTTTGAGGGATAAAAAGAGTATATCCTATTTGCAATTAAATAAATAACTAGATTCATATTCATTTTTGTCCTTAGAAAAGTTAGATTTGATCTGAATCATATTCATTTTTCCCTTCAAAAAAATTGAGATCTGACCAAATTCATATTCATTTTTGCCACTAAATAACTGGGATATGATATTTCTATGTATAAAAATTATTGCATGTGGGTTACGTGATAATATCAGACTAAAAAGTTGTTGAAAAATTATGTTGAGACCAAAGTTTGTCAACTTTAATTTATAGGAGATGTAATGTTAATATTTAAAAATAAAGATAAAAATTTTCATTTTAATGAAATGTGAGAGACCTTTTAAACGATTTTTTTAATATATATATATATATATATATATATATATATATATATATCAATCACGACTAATTACTTGGAAAGCTAAATAATTGATTTTTGACCAATATAATACTGCCAAATGGACCAAATAAGGACCACGAGAAATTATTTGGATTGCACTAAATATATATTTAGTAAGCGACACAATCTTATTCACTAGTCTGAACCAAAATAAAATTTGTAACAAGACATCATTATGATGGGCTTTAAAAGTTAGTTTTTTTTTTTTTTTTTTATAAGAGTAATATTAAGTTGGGAAAGTGTCTAAATTCACGGGTGCAATAAGTGTGAGTCTCTACATTCATATGGTAAATTTGGTGATGTACTTTGAAATACACTGGACGCTTGGTTAAAAAGTCTACTTTGTAATCAACAGATGAGTTTAGAAATACACTATTTCTTACTAACTTAATTAGGCAAACCAAAGCTGCGAGATATCTATTATTGAAAATAACTTACCATGGTCTGCGAATTAAGCGAGAATAATTTAGTCATGTCAGTTGTAGTAAATGATCCATGTCGAGTTAATGATCACTTGAATAATGACCTCATTAGGCGTTCGAGGCCTATCCAACTAATTATTAAGATTTTTCAGAAAAGAAAAAGAAAAAGAAAACCTAATGATTGACAATCTACCTGTCAAAATTCAATTTTCAATAAGAATTGTAGCTGTAAATCGCTTTTTCTCAAAATAATAAGCCATGGTAATTTTGGAATTTCCCCCACAAAGTTATTTAATGTTCTATGCCCCACAATTGCATTAGAAGTTTTTTGTTTGAATTGCTAGTTTTAAGGGAAAATTTTTTCATTTTTCATGAATATCTTTCTTACACAGTTCTCAGTCACTTCTTTACCCCACATACGTCACATTCTAAAAAATGCTACAATAATTTTAAAGACAAAAAAAAAAAAAAAAAACTCTCCAAACAACCTGGTCCTTTGTACGGTTCTTATTATTCGAATGGAATAGCTGTTTAAAATGAAAAAAGAAAAAACTATGACTTCAAATATATTTTTACACACGAAAAGAAGAGAGATACTACAAGGTAATGTTTAAATTGATGGCCCAGGGCTACAATTTCGTAGAAGATCAAGGGATATTCCTAATCTAAATGTCAAGGTTGTATTGCATTCTATTGAGTGAGTGAATTAATGACCAAAGGTCATCTGTTTTTTTTTTTTTTTTTTTTCCAACGGAAAATACAAGGAAATGATTATTACTACCGATAAGTATTTACATTTTTTCCAAGCACATTATTTTCCTTGACAATAGTTCTGCAAAAGACATTGACTATGAAATCGAACACAATTTCCAAATGCAGAAAACATGGACCACAAAGTCGAACAATGTGAAAAGGTCACTTCCCTCCGCTTTCTTTCTTGTGTTACATGTTGGACAAGAAGGAATAAAAAAGGAAAAGCAGGACTTAATAACATGCTAATAACAAATTAAACAAAAAACCAGGGTTAATACGCTTGTAACAGTTAAGTAATTCCGTCTTTCAACTCACATATTAACACTCCTTCCAAAAAAAACCTCATATATTAACACTATTTACAAAAGTAGGCTCGTTATCTTCCATCACGTGCTCTGCAGGCACCCATAGCTTCGAACTCCTATTGAACATGCCATAGCAATACAGGTTACAATGGCTTTTTAAGCGTGTCACAGAAAGATGAAAGGACACCCCCTTCTACCCTTCCTTCGCTCAGAGCCATATGCTTTCAGCAGCTACTAAAAGATTTGTCATTTTTAATCACCAATATACATAGTTGACAGTATCACAGGCATATATACCCCTCACACTACAAAGTACCCGACAAACGGATTTGTCGCTCAATCCTTGGCAAAATCACCTCTTATGCAACTTTATTTCTCAGAGACATGCCATTCTTATCTAAAGAATGCAGTTTACTAAACATAATTAGAAAATTTACCTCAAATACGTCAACTCATATCAGACCTGGTCACAATCTTGAACGACCTATAAATTTGATAGCCTTCAAGGGTGAACGCCTAGAAGCAGAAGCAAATGGCTGGCCGTTCAAGGCACCAGAAAATTTGATATCCCAACCTTCAATGTTTTTCGGGACACACGCATCAAAGAGGATTTGGCCAAGAACACCATGTGCATCCATCCTAGGGTTTGTATCAGATGGTAATTTTTCCTTCCTATCCTCTTGAGAAGAGCGCGAGTCTCTAAAATTGTCATGTTCCATTGAACTTGGTAAGAAGAAGTGGTCTTCTGGTCCAACTGCAACTCTTCTAAGGCTTTGATTTGAATTAACAGCTGCATTTTGGAGATCACATATCAAATCAGATATTTCACCAGGCATACCGCCCAAGTCAGTGCCAATTTGCTCTCCAAGTCTCTGGATTTTATGAAAGAATATGGAATTTGATCTCTCAAG